CCTTTATGTCCAAAAGATGATTTATCGCCTCATTCATGAGGTTCCTCTTGGTTGGGTTTAAGGAAACTGGACACTGGATGAACCGATCTGGTGGTCTGGATAGGAACTCCAATGACAGACCATGTTCTATGGTGGATAGAATCCAAAGGTCTGTGGTGGTGGCTTCCCAGCTGTGAATGAAGAGGGAAAGCCTGCCACCTATGGGGGGACCCTCCCTGGAGTCATTTATTCCTCCTAAATAGATCCCCCCCCGTGCCTCAAAAGGACCACTTTGATTGAACCTGCTGCCTGGCCCTGGCCCCAAAGTGGTCCGATTGACACTTGCCCCTGGGGGGGAAAGAGCGGGGTGGTTGTGACCACTCCGTCCCTGAAGTAGCATGAAAGGTTTGCTTCCGATAATAGGGAGTAGCTTTCCTGTCCGCATGTCTAGCCTGGTGCACTAACACTTTCTTCTTGTCCTGATTCTCTACCAAGTAGGGATCGAGAGCTTCCCCAAATAGATGACCCCCAGTGTAAGGTGCAGTGGCCAGATGCCATTTGGACTTTAAATCCGCACGCCATTGTTTCAGCCAGAGCAACTTGCGATTGATACGTTTGCGGCTATTGCCCTGGCCGAAAATCTGGCTGCGTGAAGGGTGGTATCCGCCGTGTACTCTGCCGTAGCAAATAACTTACCCAAGGTCTGGTGGGCCCGCACCTGTTCCTGGGGAATCATGGCTTGAAGCTCCCGAAGCCAAATGATAGAAAACCTGGAAAAGAAGGACGCTGAAGTGGAAGCCTTCACTGCCCATCCGGGTGCCTGATGTGATCTGCGCAAAGAAAATTCTGATTTCCTTTCCTCTGGCTTCAATGCCTCCGCCATATCACCTGGTATGGTGGAGGGAGAGAAGATAGGGGTCAATGATGTGTCTACCACCGGTACCTCTAATACATCCGACAGTGACGGGGCCACATTGAAAAGTTTTTAATCAGCGGCCCCTGGAGCAGGGGGAGCACTAAGACTAGCCCATTGCTTCTTTACCGTATTGATGAAAAAGGGGGACACAATATATGTTTTTGGGTCATGGTTCGCTCAGAAAACAGTGGGTCAGGTATATTACTGGTGGAAGGGGTGGGTTGTGGTTCTTGCTCGGGCACAACCTTAGATGCTGCGGAGGCCTTAGCTAGAATGGACGTGAACAATGTGGGATCAAATAATCCCACGAAGGGAGAGGGTTACTGATACGTTTCTTCATCTTCAGACAAAGGCGGATCCCGTGTGTCTTCAAGATCCGAATATGACCCTCTGTCGTGAGATGAATGCTCAGAGGTGATAGAGTAGGCATATTCCAGAGGCTCAGAGTAATACCAGGTGGAGGATAAAGGCTTAGGCCTCTGTAAGGAGGCAATACTCTGTGCCAAGACCTGAGTGAGCATTGATTGAAGCTTTTCTGGCCAGACAGTCTGAGGAACTTTGGGACGGAGACCAGCTGCAGTGGGTGTGAATGTGGCAGAGGGCCCTGGTTGAGAACTGGGTGGTGAGGCCGCCCAGCTGACATTTGGATCTGGAACCATAGGACTGATGGACCTCTGCTGGGCCTCCACGTCAGGGGGAAATGGTCTATGAACCTGAACAGTTGTGGTTAGTTGTGGGCCAAACAGGCTGCCCTCAGACGTGGTAATGGGAGGTGGGGGAACCTCCCTCGGAGTTTCTCTCTGGGCCTTTGAAAATTGCCTCTCTAGGGCCAAATGTCTCCTGGTGGCTTCCTTTTCAGCCGCTTTGGATGGAGCTTTGATAGCCAAAGTTTTGGCCCTTGCTCTCAGCTTCCCCGCTGCCTCCAATTTGGAGGATTTACATTTCTTTTTACTTGGAAAGCTGGTAAGAGACAGGACAACCTGAGGTTGTTTATCTTCTGCCATTACAATGGAGATCCTTCAGTGCAGGACTGAGGATGGATCTCAAGGAGAAATAGGAGCAAAGAAAGGAGACTGTTGAAACAAAATTGGTAAAACCAGTGTGATCTCCTGAGAATGCTACTGAGAACCACAGTGTAAGGCCTGATTTGATGACTGCTGGAAACTGGTAAAACCAGTGTGTGCTCCTGAGATTACTAGTGAATCACAGTGTAAGGCTTGATTTGATGACTGCTGGAAACTGGTAAAACCAGTGTGTGCTCCTGAGAATACTACTGTGAACCACAGTGTAAAGCCTGATTTGATGATTGCTGGAAACTGGTAAAACCAGTGTGTGCTCCTGAGAATGCTACTGTGAACCACAGTGTAAGGCCTGATTTGATGATTGCTGTAAACTGGTAAAACCAGTGTGAGCTACTGATAATGCTGTTGTTGGAGGCCAGCAATCCTTTAGAGTAGTAATTGCGAAGCAACAATATCAAGCGAGGAAGTGGAGAAACTTCCAAGGTGCCAAAAATATTGCCAGAGGCAATGTCAATTAGATGTGGCTGGATAAATAATGGGAAGGCCCCAGGGTGCCAGCAGCACTAACTGAATACTGCTCAAAATGGCGGCCGTCCACGTGTGAAGTCACCACACTGTAGGCTGAAGGCACACTAGATTGGATCTTGGAAAGAATTATATTTTCTCCCACAGTTAAACCACCAGAATACAACTAATCATCTAGGACAGTGGTTCTCAACCTTTCTAATGCCGTGACCCCATAATACAGTTCACCATGTTGTGGTGACCCCCAAGTGGGTGTGGCCACCAATAAGAGAGAGTAGGACAGCTAGGGAAAAGGGAAAAAATGGCGGACAGCGTGGTTTGGCGACCCCCGTGAAATGGTCGTTTGACCCCAAATGGGGTCCCGACCCACAGGTTGAGAACCACTGATCTAGGAGAACAATCCTGGATACAGAGAACCTGTGGAAAACCTATTCAAAATGGCGGCCACCAGCCACATGGCGAGCCAGGGAGTCTGGTAACCAGAGCCCAGCCGATCAACAGACAGTCACAGCTGCCGCTGCACAATCCAGACAAAATTTTCACAGAGAGATTTTAGCCAGAGGAAACAAAAACTGCTTGAGAAAGAAAATAAGCCCCTTGATTTACACAGCCGGTTGCCGGCTGCAAGATTAAGAGGCTCCGGAGGTCCGCCGATCGTAAATCATGAGTGGCGGAGTCACGGCTCAGCTGGCTGCACAAGAAGTGCCTCGTGAGTTCAAAAGCTCAGAAGGCGGGGGGGGGGGAGAGTTTTGAAAAAGAAAGGACAGAATCAAAGAAATAGGTAGAACAAACTCCAACTACTCCAGAAATAGGAAGGATAATACACAGATTGAAAAGGCAAAACCTGAAATGATCTGAGAGGGAACCAACACATCCTCCTGGGTATAAGACTAAGTCGGAACTGGGACAGCACGGCCCAGCGGGAGGCGTGGCTAACTCTCAGACTTAATCTATTGGGTAGAAGGGACTTCAGGAAACCCAATCCGTGGATTATCCATCCTCATGCTGGAGAATATGGAAGCAAGCCAAATTTGGAGTATTCCACACTGGGGTCTATTTTTCCTGCCCCACCACAAGCATCATAGATTCTCAAAAAAAAAAAAAAAAAAAAATGAACACAATCTATGTTACTAAACACTAGTAACTAGCAATGCTTGTATTTCCTCTGTATTCCAGAACATGACTAAGTGTCTAATGTAGACACCCCTCTGACTGCACAGAATCTCCTCAATTTAATCCACAGGATGCCTTTGGCAGATCATCTACCATACAGAGGTTAATAGAAGTGACTATAAGTGATCTGACTATAACAAAGGAATGCTATTGTCTTCCACTTCAGATCATATATTAATTGCTTGGAGGCCAAAAACAGATGTAAGACACTGTCCCTAGTATGTTTCAAATACATGTTTGGCTTGGGGTAAAAGCATGTTTGTCATAGCAGCCCTAATTCCCAATCTGTTTAGACTACATGCCCAAGGAGTGGAGATCCTTCAGCACAGAGAATCTGCAGGAGGTGAGAGGTGATGGATGAACTACCTCATTAGTACACTGAGTTTGTTCAGAGAACTCAACATAAAATACTGTCCCTTACTTCAGGCTACCTATGAAACAATTTATCTGGCTCTCATCAAATTCTCATAAAACATCATTGCTAGGCCTTTTCATTGCTCTTGATGTTAAGACTACTTCAAATCCCCCAAGAGCTACATGGGCAGATTTCAGGTAGAGGAACCCCTCCATTTTCATTCAATCAGCTTTTGGTGCCTATTCTGCTCTCTTTTCATCATGGAAAAAGAGGATAATATTAGATATGTACTTGGCACAATGCAAGTAACTCTGAGTTAGGACTTTCTGGGAAGGATAAAGAAATTAGTATATCATAAAAAGCTATAGCTATACTACAGAATAAGTATAAAATTATTGGTTATCAGCATAGGATAGAGAATGAAATAGTGCTTAGATCTATAGGAAATAGCAGTGGTAGAAGTTAAATATCTACTTATACTGAATACCTAGGAGATAATTCATGACTTTTTCTGTTCTTATTTGAGACTCATCAGATATTATTTGGATGAGTCTTAAATAAGGCAAAACTGGTCACATATTGCCTCTTGGTGGTCAATATATGTAGAAATATCCCACAGGATTTAAATTGACTAAAAACAATACCTCACTTCAACTCCAGGGAGGGGGTAGAGAAGTCATATAAACCTCATACATGAGAACATGATTTAATGTAATATCAATAACTCTCTGCTATGACAACTTAAGAAAAGTTGCACTAACCATACCATTTTAAAATGTGTATTCTATACATTAAGTATAACTAAAAAGGATAGGGCAATATAAGATATTAGGTAGCACATAGAAACAGATGGAGTTGTATCCTTGGTGTAGGGTTTAAACCCTCTTGTGTGATTTTTAGAACAAAAATGTTCTAATTTGGAAATTGAAGACAAAAAAACAATACATAACTCCTACCCTTAAAAGATAATTCCTATGAACCATGAAGGACAAGCTATGGTTTAATAAACAAACAAAAATTATGGACTTACGGGAAACTTTCAGTGCTGTGAACGTTGTTTGCACGCAGCAGACCGTAGAATGAAACATGTGTACTATCTGCTAAATTCAGTTCATGTTCTTTACCTTCTCTAATCATTGTACGCTTGAGCAAACTTGAACACTTTAAAGCTAGCTCCAATGCATCCATCCAACATCTACCTAAAGATAAATATGTTTTAGAGTATAATATTCAAAACAGTACAAGCACAACAGGGTTAGAGTTAGAGTTATTTGCATTTCAAGTATTTGTCACTTTTATGTATAATAGGTGTCCTCAATCTCGCACAAGTGGGGCTGCGAGCGCACACAGCAGCCTGTTGTGAATAGGGCAGCCTGGTAGTGGGCCACGGCACTTGCAGCCCCACTGTTCACACAAGTGAATCTGTGCACGAGCACATGCGCACATGCCTGCCCCTCACACAAAACCATCTCTCCCTCTGTGCCGGGCTGCCAATCTGGAAAGGTTGTGGTACGCTGATGTATAATACTGAGCAAAGCTTTTTAATACTAGAAAAGATTTTTTAATTCAAGTTGGACTGACTTAGTAATATGACTCATTCTTAACCCTGCTTGTGTTACAGAAATTAGAGCATAATCATATATGCACATTATATTTCACAAGAACCAATTTCAACAAGCTTTAAGTAACAGTAGGTAGGATCCCATAGAGATAAATCCTCAAGTCAAAGTTAGCACTGAAAAGTTGGGAATATTTTAAAAATCAGTAAATTGCAGAATATTCTAGAGAGGGGAGAGAAAAAAAAAGGGGGGGGGGTTAGGAAATCATTGTGGATATGTAGGAATTTTTCCACTAGGCTAAAAACTAAAAGGAACATATGCAGAAATTTGTGTTTTTTCATTCTTTTTTATTGTTTGTTCTTTCAAATATATATTAAAATAAAATATAATAAAATTGAGGTTATAGTTGCAGAAAACAGAGATTTATTGTATCAATAAAATAATGAATTGGGGGGAAAAGAATGATAGATATAACACCAAGGTAATTTATCAGCAATAATTAGTACTGCAGGAAGGCTAAAAAAAAAAAAAAAAAATCAGAGAAACAACTTGCAAGAAAAACTAAAAGCAACAAAAAATGGTTTTCTGACTATCACAGTAGTAAAATGAAGGAAAATGTAAAGATAGGCTTACTTCTTGGAGAGCATGGTAGGACAGTAATATGTGACAAAGAGGACAGAATAACTCCTACTTTGCTTTAGTCTTCTTCCTAAAGTGAACCTAAGCAGAATATGTCAAAAACCTCTCATCAAGCTAGAGGAGTGTCAAGTAATTCTATTCTATACCCTATGCAATTCAAAATATTTATAAATGGTTAAAACGGATAGAAAGTAGAAATATCAAGTTTGCAGATAAAGAAACATAGAGTGACTGCAATCCCTTTGGAAACATTATCAATGTTCATAAGGCTGAACAGAGCAAAAAGTAGGAAATTTAATTTCAACAAAGGCATTATCCTAGGACGGGGTCGGCAACCTTAAACACTCAAAGAGCCAATTGGACCAGTTTCTCAGAGAAAAGAAAACACTGGGAGCTGCAAAACCTCCGAGTGCGCGCGAGGGGGAGGGAGCTTGATTGAAGAGTTTAATTAAAAAGAAATAGAGGCTGCTATGCATGAGTTCTCTCTCTCTCCCCCTCCCTCTCCCTCCCTCTTTTTGTCTCCCTCCCTCTCTTTCTCTCTCTCTCCCCCTCTCTCTCCGTCTCTCCGATCTTCTGCTCACCTGGCAAGCTGGCTTCACGCTGTTCTCCAACAAGCTGACACACATTCTTATTGGGCTGGCTCTCTCCTGCCCTTGGTCTGCCAGTCCTCTTTCCCCACTTAGTGTGTGTGTGTGTGTGAGAGAGAGACAGACAGTGTGTGTGTGTTTGTGTGTGTGTGTGAGAGAGAGAGAGAGAGCTGCTGCTTCCTGCTGAGATGCAGCAAAGGCAGGAGTCTTGCCCAATAAGCTTATTAGCTTATCCGAGAACAGCGTGAGGCCACTCTCTTTTTTACACTGAGAGAGACAGAGAGAGAGAGAGAAAGTAAGCGCAAGTGCCTCTCTCTGTCTCTGTCTCTCTCTCTGCAAATGGCGGAGGAGGCTGGAAGCCGCAGGGGAAGGCTCAAAGAGCCACATGTGGCTCCGGAGCCGCGGGTTGCCAACCCATGTTCTAGGAAATATCAAAGTCATGAGTATACAATACATGAGGGGCAGGGAGAAGGAATATATGCCAAAAGTATCTGAGTGTCTTGATGGATCATGAGTTGCTTATGTAATACAGCTTAAAACAACCAAATAGCAATTTTAGACTGTATTAACCGAAGTATAATGTCAAGATGAAGAGAAAGTCATAATTCTTTTCTATTATGATTGGTCAGAATCAACTTTGTTTCTAATTCCACATTTTAGGAAGACTACTGACAAAATGGAGTAAATCAAGATGATAATAGATTTTGAAATGAAAAGTGTTGGGTGAGTTAGAGGGGAAAAGAAACAATGGGTTTAAATGGGAAGGAAGCAGACCTTGGCTGAATATTAGAAAAAAAATCCTAATAATAAAAACTGTTCAACACTGAGGCATACCTCAGAGATATTACCAGTGCTGTTCCAGACCACCATAATAATGTGAATATTGCAATAAAGTGAGTCACACAATTTTGGGAATTTTTCCAGTGCATATAAAAGTTATGCTTACACTATTACTGAAGTCTATTAAATGTGCTCTAATATTACATCTAAAAATGTACATACCTTAATTAAAAAACTACTTTATTGCTAAAAATGCTAATCATAATCTGAGTTTTCAGTGGGTCATAATATTTTTGCTGGTGGAGGATCTTTTATACATATACGTATGTACATATGTATGTATGAATGTATGTATATATAATAGCGCGGGATTAACACTAGGAAAAAATATTTGCAAAGCAAAGTGAAGTGCAATAAAACAAAGTATGGCTATAAGATTGCTTCAGGAAAATAAAGTCAAATATATCCAATTGCCTAAAATGATCCTGTGTTAGGAGGAGGTATTGAGTTGCGCTTATGTGCTATCTAATTAGCTTATACTCCAAAACATGGATACAAATAGTGATCTGATATGCTATCTTTATCATCTCTCAATTTCAGTAATTTGTTGGAATTGAAAAATGGTTTATTTGTTTCTCCATTTGAAATAAAACATATCACTTAAAAAAACTTAAAACAATATTCCTAATATGTACACATTATTCAAAACTTTAAAATTCCATTGTCAATGGTACTTGGCTCAAGTAACCTCATTTAAAAAATTGATCATGAAAGACAAAATAAATCCTTACCATCTGATTCTGAAGCTGCTCGAATGATTAAATAACTACCGGGTAATGGCTGTGTTATAGAGCCAACAGCTTCACCTTTAGGACCCTTAAAATACAAAACAATATTAATTTGATTGTATTGTAGATCAACTTGCATTCAATCTATTCATAAATTATCTTTTTTTTTTAAAAAAAAATGATTTTACCAGCAAGCAATAGCTTTCACTAGACTAGATCTTACAACTGCCTTTTCCTAGTTCATCACATGGCAGTACAAGCCAACTGTGGATGTAATTCAATGTTAAACAAATTATACTCAGATTAATAAATGCATAAATAAACCACTTGTGACTGCTCACCAGACAGGGAAATCAAAAAACACAGTAAACTGTGGTATTTATTCCATGTTGCTAAAAAAAAAAAAAAAAAGCTGCATGGATATAGTCAAGAAGACTTGAGCTCAATCTGAGAGTATTTTGTCTTTACTTTCCCATTCACTGCATCCCCAAAAGCAAGTATAAACATTTTAAAAATATCTTTCTCTTTTAAGAAGGAGGCTTTAAGGAACTCTACATGGCCCATTCAGTTTTGGATGAAAAACAAGCAAAATGTATTAGCAATAATACATTTAAATAATCAAGCTGATGGAAAGAAGCATCCATCTGAATGCCTATTTCCCCATAGAAATTGAGAAGCAGCTCAACCATAACGGAATTAGCAAAAGTGAGTTTGCATTTACAGATACTTGCACCCAAATAAATAAGGATGCATAGAAAGGAAGCCATAGGAGCAAAAGGCAATTCTACTATCTATTGTCCAATAAGCAGAAAGAGCCAATTTTGTTTTTAAAAATCAGATACAATGTGATATAAGCAGCTTGATGGAAATTTAATAAAGCAATACTAAACAGTTTAAAACTGGAAGTCATGTACTGTGAAAACCTGTAATTGTGCTATAATTGGAATCATAGGTTAATGGAAATAAGAAATGCTAACAATTATCTGCATGCCATCCATAATCAAAAGTCAGAGCTTCCTTTTCAATCTTCATTAACTATCCAAACCAACTGAACAGCTGAACTTTAGAATTTTATACTAATCAAACAACTTTATAAAAGAAATATTCATTTGGACCAATCTGTGACGACTAAAAAGCATTTTGAATTCATTAATGATAAGTTTTAATATGACATTGGTATAATATTCTGTTGGCACCAACTCCATTAAGAATACAAGCTCACTTACCTTAACAGCCCAGATAGACTGTTCCAAAGGATGGAAAAGTTTGAAACAGAATCCATCCTTTTTGGAAGGCCGCTCAATGAGTTCACAAGCATTCAGAAGTACTGTTCCCACCCACTGGCCATTTTTAGGTGTTTTATAAATTAGCAATACTCCTGGTTTCAACACGCACCAAAGTTTGGTCCAACTTTTCAATGTACCACGAATCTTCCCATAAAAAAAAGGAGAGAAATAAAAATATATCTAATTATTATTTCAAGTATTTTTCAGTCTCTTACTTCCAGGCAAAAACCTGATTTTACAAAATATGTAACAAGTTCAGTATTATAAAATTATTTTAAATTCTAGTGAAATAGCAATGCTCATAAAGCTACCCTCAGATACTAGATTATATTAATTACATACAGTAAGTGTAAATATTTGGGTAACTCCAATGTCTGAAAAGAGGGGCCAGGCAATCAATGGAAGAGTAAATGTGAATTCTGATTTAATTTCAGGATTGCCAGATGTCAGGCAAAAGGAGGATATGTCCTCCTTTTCGTCCTCAGTTCCTTCATCTAGTCTGGCTTTTTAAATATCTAACTGAGCAGCTTTTCTTCATGGAGTTGTGCCTCCCTAATAAGTGCTAACTACAAATTAACAAGCTCTTCCTGAATTTGAGAAGACCTTAATCAGTAACAAGGTGAAGGCATTTGCCTCATAAATGGCTCATGACAAAGATTAAATTAAAATTATTGCAGGACTCAAAGGAAAGGGGGGGATTTGGCCTTCCAGACTTGGAGAAATACTACCAGGCTATAGCACTAGTATGGGTAAGAAATTGGATATTATTAAAGAACAGGAACAAATAGGGTGGCATGCTATATTATGGGATCATAAATATAAAATACATAAATATTTTTGAAGACACTATATTAGACAAGCTCTTATCGATGTATGGGCAAAAATTTGGTAACCAAATTATACCCAAGTACCTAGTTGGATCTCACCATTAGAAATATATGTACACCCAAAATGTGCCCAATTAGATAAGATCATAACATATAAAAACATTTTAGATGAAAAAGAGGAATTGAAATCCAGGAAAACCCTCCAGGATGAAGGGATAGAATTAGAATGGTGGGCATACCTACAACTGCAGGCGAGATATTGGAAAGATAAAAAAGAGTTAGGCATTAAATTAGAACCAATAGAACTGGATAAAATAACATTGGGATCGGAGGATAAAATGATTAAAAAATTATACCACTATTTGTTAAATCAGGCAATGTATGAGGAACAAGTAAAAGTGACTATGTTAAAATGGAGCAAGGATTTTGATCTGCACATCTGGCAAGAACTATGGGCAAGAAACAAGAAGCGTACGTTGGCCACCTCTTATAAAGAAAACCTCTACAAAATGTTTCTATAGATGGCATCTCTCACCCATAAGATTAGCTAAAATGTGTTCCAATGTCTCCTCTAAATGTTGGGAATGTAATCTGACAATTGGAACATACTATCATATGTGGTGGGAGTGCACACGAGCTCGTGATTTTTGGAATAGGATCAAAGAATGGTTGGAAGAAATATTAGAGCGAGCGGTAGAGCCAAAACCAGAACTTTTTCTATTAGGTATAACCCCGCAAAAGTACAACAAAGGCGTACTTTATTTAATGTTACACATTCTAACGGCTTCCAGACTGGTTTTTGTTCAAAATTGGAGGAATAAAGGAATTCCAACGGAAGAAGAGATCCTGTATAAAATCCTTTCATGTGCTGAGATGGACAGGCTTACAATGATTATGAAGGACAAGACAGAACTCGAATACTTCGAAATCTGGGACAAATTTTATCATTGGTATGAATTAAGGAGAACTGCTTAGATCTCAAGTTAATGATAGGATTGAAATATATATATCACTGTACATATAATTGTATATTTAATTGTATTACATAGAAGGATGAGGCTTATATAGAGGTTAAGAATGATATATTAAGTTTTTGTACCATGAAAAACAAACTGTTAGGAATACTTACTCTGGAATGTCACGCTTGTCCATTTTTGTTTTAATTGTATTATAAATAAAAATAAATAAATAAATAAATGGCTCATGACTCACAACTGTGAGCACACTAGGTTAACAGCAGCTGCTAGCACATTCCCCTCAATGTGTATTTACCACTGGGTGCCTGTTTACTTACTTGTATTCCTTTCCTCTCCAATGAATGTAAATACAAACATTAAACAGTGTGTGTCCTCCTTTTCCCTCCCATTTACTCTACTTTGCAATTGTCCATGTCTTCCTTTCCTTTTTCAGGTTTCTGGTAACTCCTGAATGATTGCCCTGAGCAAATCTCTCTCTCTCTTATTCTAATTCTGAGTACTGCTCTAGAAATAAAATGGTGCCCTGAGTGATCTGAACAAAGAGTAGAGTAGAAATGTAAATGCCTTTTGATTTTAATCTTCGTAGGAAATTTTGAATAGTAGCATCTCATGTTACATATATCATTGACCAGTGTTACTTAATATTTCTATGATATGAAAAAACATTAATATTAAACAGCTTTGGTTATCTGATCCCCACATTCCATTCACAATCTTCTCTTGTTTGTTCATATCATCTGTCAGGTTTGTTCTGACTTGAGCATTTAGGAAAGGAAGATTCTCGACTCCATTTTTGAAGTGAAAGGTTTATTTTTACCAAAGTCAAGTGGTTACAGCATAAGGAAAACTGGATCTGAATATTCCCATGCAAAGCTTGCATTTTTCTCTCTTCCTTGGCCCTCCCCCCCTTAACCAGTCCATCAGCGTTCGATTATATTCAAATTATATGTTTTGGGAATGGCCTTGAAATCTGTCGCCTCTCTAGTGGAGTTTCACATTCCATTCTCACTGCTCCGCCCTTGATTGGTTGGTCTGTTCCAGACTGACACCTCTGGTTCCTGTCACCCTGTCTTTCCCCCTTCCTACCTCTCCAATCTCCCTTCCTCCTCCTCCTCCTTCCCGCATTTTATGGCAGGATGCCAGCAAGGCAGAATATGCTGAAGATGGCAGATCTGATACCATCATTGATTTTTAGATAGTGAAAATCATAACATTTTACATCATCACGTGTAGAAGAGGGAAAAAAAGAAAATTTGCAATAAGGAAACTATTTTTAAATTTCAATACATCAGTGATATTTCATATGCTTGTTATTAAGGGGAATATCTTTCTGTTAATATCATATTTAACATAGGGAAATTAACAACACAAATAATCATTATAGATTTGTTGTAACTATAGCAACCATGTTAAACTAAACTAAATCTCCCCCTGGGTTTCTATGTATTGAATATTAAACCTCTGGGATACAATATATTCCATGCCACTGGTAAACAGTAGCAGTTAAATACAATTTCAATTCTTTTGCTTTCTTATAGATTAAACATTCAGCAATTACAGCTCGTTATTCATCTCAGTTTCTTACCTTCAGCCAATCAGCCATAACAATGTCTGATGGGTCTGTGATAGTGCTGAGTAATTCTTTAGTGGCTCTTTTCTTTTCTTCCCTGTAATTTTTCTTTTGAACCTGTAAAGAATGAATAAGAAATGAGAAAAGAAAGTAGATAAATGGAAAGAAGTCAGCGAATCCAATCAATTTGAAAATAAAATGTCCAGCTGAAAATTGTTATAATACATAATAAATATGCATCAATGTGATAAATCTTCAAAATCAGTTAAACCTACAATACAATAGAAATTAACTGAATAGAAGAATAAAATGCAAATGGTGAGAGTCAGGAAAAGATAACATAAAGGAAGTAAGATAAACCATATAGGCAAAAATAGCTGGGTCTGAGAAAGGAAGAAGAGAAGCCATAAAAAATATATATAGTTTTAAAAGGAAATGGCTAGCCAGGAAGGACAGGTTGAAGGGGAAAATAGGAAACTAAGCCAAATAAGATAAGAAAAGAGGCACACTGAATTGAAAAGCAAGAAAAGAACTTATTGTTTAAAATGGCGACATAAATATATACTGAGTTTAAAATAACCATTTAAATGTCTAATTTTTCTTATTCTTATTGTATATATGAATATGATTTAATATGTTATCAGGAAATATGTATAAGCAGACAGAAAGAGTGTAACCTCATAGTACCTCAGCCAATGGGGAAAGAGGAGGGCTGTAGCGGCCGGTGATAGGGATGAATAAAAGAAGGAGATATTTTGGGTTAAAACTTTGGAGAGAACCAAGCTTTGATAGCTTCTCTCCCCACTTATTGCAATAAACGAAACAAAAGGCCTTCACTGTGTCTTGGCTGGTTATTGGTCAGATGAGCTTGCCTTTGGTCACGAAGGAAAGTAGCCAGGAGCACATAACATACAGAAAAAATAGTTTTTTAAAAAGTCTAACAAACGAACTTACTAGAAGTTCTTTTTTGGACAATTTCATATAAAAGAATACATGGTTTTAATTTTCAGCTATGTTTACAACTTATCAAGAACACAAAGATCCATTTACCTGGACTCTAAAGCATGGTTAACTCAAGGTGAGAAATCTACTGTATCTACCTGCAATTGTTTATATAAACATATAGATTTACTTACATTACACATTTTATCAAAAATTAATAAGCGCATACAATTTAAGTATATTTGAATTCATCAGAATTTGTTCGCCGTACCTTCTGTAAGTTTGAGAATCACTCCTTGAATAGCCTCTACAACCAGTTTACTGCTGGTTCCAAAACTGTTTGCTTATCCCTCTTATTTCCTCTTTTTAATCAAGGGATATCCCTCTCTGAATTATGAAATCTAATCTCATAGATGATTCTAGCAATTAGATTACAAAAGCAAATACTTTAAAAAGTCAAAATTCAAAGGAAAACTATGGTCCTCAACTGTACTTATGTGATTGTGCTATACCGAGCAAGACACTTATAACAATTGTTTCTACATCTATAGACAGAGGATGAATTATTTTATATTCTTAACACATCATAACCTATTCATCTGTGGTATTAATATTATCTACGAGTGAAAATAGAATGCTTTTCATAAATTTGGTCCCTTTAAAACTATAGGCTTCTATGGCTAAATTAGCAGCTGACCATACAACTTTGTTTGTAGCCCTTCTGAGGTGAAAAAAAACCATACCTGATACTACTTCAGACAACAGATCTCACAAGTTTAATCTAATGAATAAAATTGGTACATATCCTATCTGTAGGCTTATAAAGCTAGTTCATATATTACCAGGTTTCTACACCCCCCCCCCAAAAAAAAATAGGGGATCAAAACATCGAGAACAAGATTGATATAAGTTGAATCTGTATGGCTTCTTTAAATATTTGGTTAAAACTTAATTTCTTTCCTTAAGGCCTTGCACCATTCATCCTCCAAGATAAATTCTTTTCTTCGTGGATTGTTGAGTTCAATCTTGCTAAACTCGGTTTTCTCCATCCTTAACTGGACTATGACCAGGCAAACAAACCCTGAGACAAAGGATAGAGAATATAGAGGGGCAAGTGGACTTAGACAAAGCTCCATTGTGTCTGACTCCAGATTCTAATAGATATACTGTCATCCCTGCCAGTTATCTTAGCCAGTTAGAAATAGTGAATCATCAGAAAGCCTTTTCGCTTGTATGCTGTCATGTGCTCCCCTCAACTGTCCTGGAGGGCAAATATAAAAGGATACCACTGGCTAAAAGATTCTATCCCTGTGATTCTGGAGAGGTGGAAACCTCTGGACATGTCCTTCTTCACTGTTCTTTTTATAAAGACATTCAAACAAAATATATTTTCCCAATAATTAATAGCTATCCCTGGCTATTCGGATACCATTTATCTTCAGAGCTTGCTTAAAGACGTAGTCATGGTGCAGGTAGCTAGATTCTGCACAGTAGCACTAAAGATTCATCGGAACTTGATGAATAATCTATTATAACCATTTTAAATAACTAATAATGCATCAAATCTTTTGATATCATCACTCCGTTGTATTTTAGTATCTAATAACTACTGTGTTTCCCCGAAAATAAGACCAGGTCTTATTATTATTATTATTTTTTGCTTCCAAAATAGGTACCAGGTCTTATTTTCAGGGGATGTCTTTTATACTCACCTCCGGCACCCACAGCCCCACCCAGACGGTCCACTCCTATGGCCAAAGGAGCAGCTTCATTCTGCAGGAAGGCCTATGCAGCCGACAACTGAGCAATGGATTCAATCTATAGCTCAATTCTCAGCTGCAGAGGTCTTCCAGAATGGAGCTATAGATTGAATCCATAACTCGATTATTGGCTGCAGTGGCCTTCCGGAAAAGCCTGTGACTGAGAAATGCAGGCCTGGTGTTGTGCCTCCGCTGGAGCCTGAATCTGCTGAGGAAAATGAGCTGGAACTGGACCCTATGGAGGTCGAGGGAGAGGTGTCTGTGGCTTCACAGTAATGTGGGGAAGAGCAGGCCGAGGCAGGCCAGGGCCTTTCAGGATTGGGACAGGATGAACATGAGAGACAGAGCTCAGGCGATGGGGAAGGGCCACCCTCTCCTGAACCTAGAGCACGGAGAGTGGAGAGAAGGAGGGAACAACGCAGGCAGGCTCAACTACTCAGGAGGAGAGCGCCGCGCCCTTCTCCACAAGGCACACCTGGAGACTGAGACTTAAGGAGACGCTGTGGGAAGGGGCATTTGTTGGGAACAGACGCTGAATGCTTGGAGTTTTGTGTGCCATTGCTAATCTTGGAAACAACTCGCTGATCTCTTGTTCTGTGTTGGATTTCTGCTTGGAAACCCTAAAACTCTGACCATTGGACTAGCTGACAAACTTGATTTGGTGTTCAAAGACCTCGGACTGAATTTTGGCTTCTCTTTTGAAACTGCTCAGGCTAGCTTGTATTTCCAAAGACTCGTTAGATTTGGGATGTATGTTTCATTCCTTGTTATCTACGTGGCATTGAGTAAATTACTCTTCTAATCTAACTGTATGTGAAACTACTTGCAGCCAGAGGCTGCTTAAGGTGTGTGTGTCTTACTTTGTTCTGAGGCTTGCCAGAAACGTGGGAGCATTTGGGGAAAATTGGAGCAAATAAAGGGCAGTTTGAATTGCCAGTTGATTGTTTTGCCTCTGTGCTGTGCTCTGGGTCATCACACCTGGCTGCAGAAGATGCGGCAGAAGAAGTGGGCCAGTGAGGAGAGCCCTGGCTGCAAAGTAAATGGGTAGGGGGCGCGTGGTGCAGATCCACACCCCTGCTCCGCCCTAGCTTGATTTTTAGGTATGTGCCTCGCCCTAAAACTAGGGCTTATTTTGGGGAAAACAGGGTATAGGCTTTCATAATTTGATTAATATTACATTATAGCTTAGGCTGCCATCTTGTTTATGTCCAACTGAGAGATAGGCTGCCAAATGATTTCAACATAGATTTTATTATTTTATTCTAAAATTTTTATATATTCTGAGTATTTTTAATTATATTGTCCTTGACTGTAATAAATTTGATATTTGATTTGATACACCTTTCTGTAATGAAAAAAATGGCTAAGACTATGTTGCACAACTTTTATATGCTATAATTATGTGCAAAACAGTTTGGTTTATTGGTTAAGGCATGAGGCTGGAAAGCAGGAGAACATAAGCTGAAGTGCTGCCTTAGCCGTAAAAGACAGCTGGGCGACTTTAGATATTTTCTTTCAGCCGAACTCACCTCACAGGGCAGTTATTGTTGTAGGGAAAATAGGAGGAGGAAGGTGTGTTGGATACATTTGCTGCCTTGAGTTACAAATAATAAAGTTTGGATACAAACAAATAAGTAATATTTTCTGAAGCATCATAGCACAGTTTCCAAATCTACAACTAATTGTGTTATGGGACAAATTTAATATGAAGATTTAAGTATTCTATAACAAATTTTATTGGTTTTTTAACTTTTACAACAGCTCAAGACACAACGTGGTGGTTAGGTGGTCAATCATCCAAAAACAAAATCATATAATAGCTCAAGTAAATACATTAAATGTTCCCTCTCTATTTCACTCAAATGATATAACCCATTTAACATAATCCATTTCTACATTATATATCTATAAATCCTAATCCTGTTTTGAGCTTTATTAATTTACAGTTACCATAGTCCAATTTAACCTTAGAAAAATGTATTATCACTTCGGGAATCCCTTTTAAAATACTAATCCAGATATATTTTAATTCATGATCTCATAAACCATTGATTTTATCACAGATCTCTCTTATTACTTCAAATAGCATTTAAATCTCATTCAAATAATTATATCTAAAAAAAGAACACACCTATTATTACACAAAACATCGTCTTACTAACTTAACACACTCAATTAGTTGTTAAAGCGATCTGAATTTCTAAAAGCCTCTTTCATATTCTTATTCTCATTCCATTACGAAATAATCTTCATACAAATAAACATATTATTCAAGAAAATACATTCTTACTCTGTTTAACATACCGTAAATGCCGGCGTATAAGGCGACTTCCGCGAGCGCTGAAATCGGCGCCAAAGACGGGGGTCGTCTTATACGCCGAGTCGTCTTATATGCCGGAAATACTGGTAGTTTCCGGCATATAAGACGACGTTCTAGGAATGCGGCCCAGCTATAAAGACGGGGGTCGTCTTATACGCCGGGTCGCCTTGTACGCCGGCATTTACGGTATATATTCTAATAATCACAAATTTTCAACTCTAAATCTTAATCCTTAAATCAGTCCATATTTCTCAAAACCTTTTTAATCCATTACATATAATTTTAAATTTTTCTTTTTAGTCTTATTCTGGCTTTCTTCCTATGCCAAACAGGCTTCTATAACAAAGCCTCTATTTCAGCAAATAGATCTCCCATTATTGCTTGTAATATCATTTGAGTCAGTAAAAGACCTCCCATCCTCTGTTTTTGACGCCTGGTTCCTGTCTGCTGAATAAAACACTCAATCATGTCCAATTTTATAATTAATAGTTGATTATCAAGGTTGTCATAATTCTCCAACAGCTGTAATTTCAAGTCCATTTCTGTTAGTTTTGCAATTGTAGATAGTTTAGTTACAATCATTTTTTGGTCATCCAAAGTCTCCATAGGTTGTATGTAAATTAATTCTTTTAGTATTGCTTTTTGGTCTGTAGAATGATCAAGTAGAGCCTGAAGGTCAGTTTGTAAATTCACAGTAGAATTTCTGTTTATTATTTCTGCAGTTTTCCCTCTCTCCTTCTGTCTAACTACTCTCCTGTCAAAAGCCTTTTGGAATTACTTCCCTGCTTTGAAAGAGCTGCCTTTATTTATCTGAGGAAAAGAGCTTTCCATAACAAAGGAAAAAACTACTTATTGACTATTTTTCCTTTTGGCTACTTGGGGGCCCTGGAAAATCCTTGTTATAAAACTTTATTATTATATCTTCTAAGCTGGAGAATAGTGTCTTCCTATGTCTTGGACTTACTTTTTTAAAGGGATAAATCTTTATTGTCTGAAAAAAAAACAACAACTCTATGAGAAGCCGGAAAAGAGACTCCATAGCTCTGACTTTGCTAATCTCATTCTTGATGTCTGGAAGAGACTTAGATAGTTTACTGAGGACATCTTGTGGAGAAATTTAACTGTAACTGTTTTTTGTTTGTGTTACTATTGAAATGGAGAAATCATACTCACAATTCAACTGTAAACTCATACTGGAAAAAAATTATGAAGCTACTGAGGAAATATGTTCCCAAAGAAGATTTAGGTATTCTAATACTGAAAATAACTCACCTTAAGGGACTCCTTCTTTGTGAGTTTGGTAGTGGGAGAGGAAGCAGGGATGTCCTTTTCTGATCCATTATATATCTTAGATTCTGACTGAAAATACAAATTACACAAGAAAACTATGAAAATGCTTTCTTTCACCATTAACATGAAATCTTCTGTAAATCTTCATATTTTTAAAATAAAAGAAGAGATAATGGTGATTTCAATATCTCAATTCCAAAACTGCCATGTTTCCACTTGGTTAATTTTATATGAAAATGGAATACATTTCAAATAAGAAATCCATCATTATTTATTTCAGAGACGCTAATTAGAGTTATTAAACAAAAACTAGTACTTCTGAACAGTTTAGCAGTCTATACCAAATGACTTCTACATTTGTCTTTAAATAATTATATATAAACATACCAATAAACCTTGTCTGCTAAAACCTAAACACAGATGTAATTCAACTTGCTATTTAACAAAATTACCTGCGATATGCAGAATACTCAACTTACTGTGGGTTAACAGAGTACAAAATTTTAATTTTAAACCAATAACTTTTGAAAAAAAATTAAACCCAACTGAATAAAATAATTAAAGGTAGCAATCTAAACCAGGTTTAAGATTAAACTACTACTGAAAGCTTCCATAAGTAACTTCCTTCCCATTACTGAATAGAGGCAGATACTAGTAAAAATGAGGGGAATAGGTAGGAAGTCAAGACACGTGGGGAAGGAAGGAAGGAAGGAAGAAGAGAGAGAAAGAGAGAGAGAAAGAAAGAAAGAAAGAAAGGAGGGAGGAAGGAAGGAAGGAAGGAAGGAAGGAAGGAAGGAAGGAAAGAAAGAAAGAAAGAAAGAAAGAAAGAAAGAAAGAAAGGTAGATAGGAGGTCATTTATCCTCACTTCTGCCTCACTACAATTCTAGAAAAATGCATAAGAGTACATGCATTTTTCTAGTCATTGCTATAAGAATCAGAAATATATTGGTATCTTGGTATTCAATTGCTTCAAAACACATCAAATTTGGTAGTTAATACATTTTGATGTGAAAATGTTGTCCCGATATTCATCTTTATTTGGTACTCAACATGCTGCAAAAGGAAATGGGGGACAGCCGCAGAGGACAGACAGGAAGTCGGCCATGCTAAGAAGGTCACTAACATAGGAAAAGGGACAAATAGTTCTTCCCAGCCCAAACAAACTGTTTTGTGGTATGTCACATGATTTGTTTGCTATTTATCCTTTTTAGTACTCATCGTGGCTCCTGGAACCAATTAAGCATGCGTACCCAGGTTCCACTGTAGTACCAAATCTCTCCCCCCCCACCCCCAGTTTATGGCAAGTACTCTCTATACATGAAAAGAATTGAAAAAGATCTAATATTATTCTCTAAACAGGAATATGCTATTTCTGAATTTAATAATTCTATTGTCTTTTTCCTTTTAATTTTTTCTGATTAGATACAACATCCCTTCCACTCTTCTTCATCATATTTTCCCCCAACCCTTTCTTTCTCCCTTTATCCAGTACTGTTATTGCTTCCATTTGTTCCATAAACATCTTGTTTACTTCTTCTTTGCTCTTTCTACCTGAGGGACCTATATAATAGCATGCATACTTGGTATGCCTTTGTATATGACCGGGAACAATTTCTCTGTGTAAATGAAGACAGAGAATCCTTTTATTTACAAATGGAAAATCTTTTTAATCAGTAAACTACCATATGATTTCAGTACAAGGCAGTGTACAAATAATACAAAATAAGTATAAATATTAATTTGTTTTGTATCCTGGATCTCCCTTTTTTGATCACTGAGTGAAGCTCAAGAGAGAGATATGTATAGACAAGTAAATGTGTCACATGCTGTAACTAAGTCCAATTTTTAATTCAGAAGGAATAAATACATCTAAATTGGTAGGATAAAGATACATACAGTAATTGTACTTACCTTACTTTTTGACATTGATTGTGAAGGATCATCTTTATTTTGCGAAGCATCATCTTTCCCTCTATCAAAACCTTAAAAAGAAATATATGAGCTTACAATAATTTCTACAGAATAAAATTATAAATACCAAGTATACTTTCTTTAAAGGCAAAACCATTAAATTCTGACTAAATGTATTAGAAACGACATTCAAATATTCCTAGAGTATCACAACAATTTTAAACCTCTAAAATATTGTTTAGCAATAAACATTATGTGAGTCAACATCTACCTCAAAGGTATTGTTTTTATTTGTTAATATTGCATCTAGTAATGCAATCTACTTTTGTGACAGTATAAAAAATAGAAAACAAACCTTGAAAGACTGGTGAGAGTTCACTGCATCCTCCAAATGAAGCATTCCGAACAAGCTTTCGGCCATCAGTTTGTGGAGGAAGTAAAACCCCAGCACCTAGAGAAAACCTACGCCTCATAGGACCTTCTTCCTTTATGAGCTAGATGCTCTATATAATTATTCTTGTCATTCAAAAGGCTGGTGGTAATGAGAACGTTGCAGAGAAAGCAGTTGCCATTGTTAGCAACCCGCAAGTAAGAGAGTCATGTATGCATTTGAAAAAGGAAGATATACTAAGTATGTTGGTAATAATGTCAAGTTGTTACCATTTCTCTATCAGTAATATTTCCTATTTTAGTATGTTCTAAGACAAGCTGTTATTCTACACTGTTTGGAAATTACAGAGAATTGGCATGATCAAATACATCAAAATAATTCTTCTATTCCTAATCTTTAAAGCACAAACAATAATCTATCATGGGTATATTTCCAACATTGTGAAAGAAAGCAGAAAATTACAGTTTCTAAATAAAATGAATTTCTCAATCAAAGAAAGTCTTAATAAAGCAAAACAAATAGCACCCGCCAGCAAAATGTCTAAAAATTCTAGCTCCACAAAAAGGCTTGATGGAAAAGGATCCATTGCTTCTTAAAACAATATTACACAAATATTAATAATGCACATTAAAATTTATGTTTTAGAAAACAAGTGCTTTATTACTAAAACAATTATTATTCAATAATAAAGTTCCTTTCTAAACTTATTTCAAATAAAAAGACATGGCTTTTACATGAAGATTTCAGACTGGAATAATTAGCCTGAAGAAAATACAGAATCTTTCAGCTTTAGGAGGGTTTTTTTTCCCCATTAAAAAGTCTGATATATTTTCAACATGAAGGTAATCACTAAAAGTTAACTATATTATTTGTTCAATAAATACAAATCAACTATATTTTAACAGAAGTGTAACTACAGCACTATATAGGTATAATTTCTGATTGAAAGTTTAAATATCTGATAATTTAACTGATTTAGATGCTGATCATCTAAATTACGTATTTAAGTGGCAAGAATGTATGGAGTAGTGAAGAGTAAAAAAAATGTAAGAATGTGGGCTGACTACAAACAACTGAAGATTTGCCCCCTTTTAATATGTGTTGGGTAGTCAATTTTGCCTACTTTTCATGCAAACCATGATATTTTCAGTGGATCAGCTGAATATACATCATCTGTATATTACTAAAATTCTCATGTCTGTATGCAACCTTTAACTGGCAAAATATTTTGTGTATCATAGGGCAACAAATTTTGAATCGAGGTACCTCAAACATGCAAACTTACAGAATGTGTTCAAAATCTGGGACCCATGAGTCCCATGGAATTGAAACTTGGCAAACTTTATAAAACATTTTATGACATAAAAATAACCATAAAGCATTTTATGACATAATGCAAAATGTCATAAAACATTTCTTGTGGTCCCTTCTGATGTTATGCTATACAGTTCAATATGGACTATTTTCAAGGTGGATACATCCCTGAATGTCTTCCTAAACTTTTATGAACTTTTGCAGTGAAGGCAGTAAATTAGAAGTTCTGCCATTGTTGAAGACATTGAGGAATCTGGTAAGGAAATGTCTCTGAAAAAATGACGCAATAAGTTTTCTAGAATTTTTAAAAACTCTGTCTTCCATAACCATTGTTTTTTTCTGCCAGAGATTTTGGACAAAGGGCAAGTTCTTAATATTCTGAGATTAGATGGTTTAAAAGAATGTGCGTGCGCACACACACACATTATCTGTATGCTCAAAAAAAAGTCAGCAAAATATCTAAAAACTTGTCCAAGGTAAAACTGAGCTACCAGATTTTTTTCTATTCAGTTATTTCATAATTCAAATAAAACTCTTGCTTTTAGTTTTTTAACTACCATAATACATAGTGTTACTTCAGTTATGAAGTTTAGAATATCACTGTTTTTCTTATATGTTGATATATTCCATTTATTAGAAATGAACAATTGTTTTAAAACAAGGAACATAATTCACATTTCCTGGCATCATGAAAATGTAGCATAATTTCAAATTACAAAGGAAGGCCAAATTCAGCCTCTTCCTTTCCTTCTATAATTGCAATATAAAAAGCATACAGGACAGTGCTAAGAATTCCCCATCAAAACTTGCTTTTATTCCTGTTTTACACTTCATTTCTTATATTATTTCTATAAACTAAACTGTTGTCAGAGGTTAAAGCACTATAAACACTAAGTGGAGCTATGGTAAATCTCACTTCTTTTGCATGTAACTTTCATACCACCAATGTTCTCAGGGATGGTCTGTAATGGGGAAAAATACTATTTGAGAAAGTTCACAAATTTCAGCTTTGCCATTATTATGATGACATACATTATAACACAAAGAGAGAACCTGTTCTTTAGAATAGGAATCCAAGGGTTGTGCTAGATGTTACAATGGAAACAATGGTTTCCCTAGTAACATTGAAGCAGGGTGGGTTAATAACTTCAGAAAAGAATCTGTGAGTAGTATTGGAGCAGTAACACTCAATATAGTCTTTATTTATTTAAATTACAACTTTGATTATCCTAGTCACTTTCATTAGTATTTCCCCAGGCAATCTGAGAAACTGAAAATTCATCTAAAAGAAAATGGAATCTATCAGAAAGTATGTAATGAATATAAGGAGAAATGGTGGCAGTGCTGGTTAAGCGCCTTGACAATGCCAGACATGTCAAACTCAAAACCTGTGGGCCAGATCTGGCCCATGGTGTGTTTAGATCTGGCCCGCAAGCAGACTAGTAGAAGGAGGTGATTGAGTAGTTACCTCCTTGCTTCTTTGAGTGTCTTATCACTGGCAGCAGTGCTAGCACAGAACAGGCAGCAGGAGCCTCTCCAATGCATGGAGCTGTGTGGCAATGGTAACTGCAGGGGCAGGTGGGCATGGCTAAAGCGCCCTCTGCCTGAGAGCAAGTGGCTGGTGAGGGAAGGAAAGAGAAAGGTCGGAAGGTGCTCAGGCCGTATGTTTCTTCAGTTCTCACCCCTCCTTGCCTTGCCACCTTTCCTTCGGCTGTGCTGCACTTTCCCATAAGTAGCCGCTCCCCTCGCAGACTCTTCCCCAAAAGACATAAGGAAACGCAAGACAGGAGGCTCGCACACGATGGCCCAGGCCAAAACTAGTTGAGAAACCTGAGCCATGTACTGCTGAAGTGCATGTGCTTCCCTTGAAGCTGCTGCTGCCCCTCCAGGGGAGAGATCTGCAGTTCAGTCTCTTTACTGCTCAGACTCTTCCGTCTCAGGTTACTGGGACCTTAAGAGTGCAGCCCCCTTATATGCCAGAAGATCTGGACTCATCCTACTGAGCTTCCAGAGTGGATACCTACAGCACTCGCCTCATGCAGCACCTGGGACTTTGAGCTTTCTGTGCAGTCTCATACTCCATATATACAACATCTGCTGTGAAGAAGATCTGTATGCCTATACTGATATTTAAACACCAAAAAGTGGCCAAACAGAAAGTGGAGTTTGAAAACAGATGCTTTAAAAAGAGGTGAGAAGCAGAGTACCTGTTTGTTGACATTGAAGATAAGGAGTGTACCTTGAGAAGCTAATGTGGCTGCACTTAAAGAATATAACATGAGACGGCACTATGAGACGAAACATCAGGACAAGTACAAAAACTTGGACATACAGCAGAAGCTAAAGAAGGTGGAAGAGTTTAAAAAGAGTCTGATGTCACGGCAGCGTATGTTCAGAAAAGCAAAATCATAAAGTGAAACTACTATGAAAGCTAGTTTTATAGTGACAGAAGAGATAGCTAAATCAGCCCGGCCATTTACAGAGGGGGAGTTTTTGAAGCGCTCATGATTAAAGTGTGCAAAGTCTTGCGTCCAGACCAAAATCAAGCATTTTTTAATGTAAGCCTAAGCAGAAATACTGTTGCTAATTGGATATGTGAGTTTGTCACTGATTTAAAAGTACAGTTGATTGAAAAGGGAAAAGATTTCATTGCGTATTCACTTGCTGTGGATGAGAATACTGACATCACTGGCACAGCACAGCTGACAATCTTCATCCATGGAGTAGATTCAGGTTTATGCATTAAAGAGGAATTTTTGGATATGAAATCAATGCATGGAACTACCACAGGGAAAGACATATTTGAAGCAGTATCTAAATGTGTAAATGACATGAAACTAGCCCTGGGACAAACCTGACAACAGATGGAACACCTTTGATGTGTGGGGAAAAAAGTGGATTAGTGGGAAGGATGTGAGAGAAGATGAAGAGCAAGAAAAGAGAGGTGTTTTTTAATGATTCAATCTGAACTTTATGAGTATGACTCTGTTTTGTGGACAATTGATTGCCCTGCCACCACGTTGTTTCTTAAGCACTTGTTTGTAAAATGAAAAAACCAATAAAACCTGTTTTTATTTAAAAAAAGAGCAAGAAAAGCACAGGTTTGCTGACAGCATATCACTGCATCATATACCAGGAAAAACTATGTGGCAAAGCCCTGAAGATGGAACATGTAATGAGCACTGTAAGACGGACAGTTAACTTTATAAGAACCGAAGGTTTAAATCACCATCAATTTAAGTCTTTTCTAGAAGAAATATATTCTGAACTTGGTGATCTCCCCTATCATACAGAGATGCGATGGCTAAGTCGAGAAAAAGTGCTCAATAGAGTTTTTGAATTGCATAAGGAAATCTGTCAGTTCAT